AGAATTTTCGCACTCTACAAATATCTTTGAGAAAGGAATGTTTCAAAAAAATAACCACATTTCTGATAAACCAGGATTCTGATTTTATCTCAATTAGAATTATAATGGATTGTAATCGGAAAATTCTTAATTTGTCCATTTTCCAAGTAAAATTCCAATTATTGCAACGAGACTCTTTTTTTTTTCCAATATACAGAACATGACGTTACGTCGTTCGCATGATAAATCTGTTGTACAATCACCCGTGGGAATAATTTTGCAGTGTGTCAGGGTCAATAACACACCGTTTAATGACATTCACGTCCGCGAATATATTATTCGCGTAGAGGAATTTAATTTATTATCGTATCCTCGCGCGACACTCCTAGGTCGCGTTAAACTATCGAACTTGCGTTATATATTGCGCCGTATTGCCGCGTTCCGTGTAACAAGTCAATTATTAGATATTACAGGCAACGGCGACGGGCCCCGAGACCATCCCGCTCATTAATTTCATATTCAATCGCAGAGAGAAACGTAGATGTGTGTACGTATCTACTTATCGACCGATATAATTTCATAACACGCCGACGATCTCTCTAGACTTTCTTCGCTCTAGACTTTATTACGCCTCGTCATTACAGGCTTGGCAATTACGCTTGGGTTGTTTTTTTAATTACTTACAACTCCGTTGTTGTTTCTTAGTCATGCCGACGCGATTGAAAAACACCTCTCGCAATCGAATCATCTGCGACGCGACGATCGAGTCAACCAAGACGCCATGCCTGAAAAAGTTCGAACGAAACATCCGGCATTTCGTTTCTCTCTTTTCATCCGCTCGCCGGTCCTGTTTCGCTCTCCCTCCCTCTGTCTCTCTCACGCTCGAACCGATCGAAAACGATGCGACGCCATCTTGACCTGCTGCTTGCTGCTTGCGAGACATCCGAACGGAGAGTGAGAGCTCTTTTGATGCCTGCGCATTCATATATACCTGTAACTGGGAAACTGCAACTGCACCACTCCCCGCCGCTCGTCTGTATAGAAGTATTAGATGGGAGGGAACCGGTGAAGAGGGAGAGGGAGAAGTAGAGGTAGAGGTAGAGAGAAAGTCAGAGAAAGAGAGAGAGACAGAGGGAACGGTGGTGGAGGCGGCGGCAGCGGAGAGGGTAAACTGGGTCAGTGTCGTGGAACTTGAAAACTTCGTTTCCGTAATGTGAGAATGGCGCCGACTGCCATCTCGAAGTCGCTTAAACTGCATTTACGAGTCGGCAGCGGGTAGGTAGGTAAAACAGAAACACTTGGAGAGAACGCAAGACCGAGTTATGTGTAGTTTTATATATATATATATAAAGTAGATATAGGCGTGCAATACCCTCTTCCTTCTTCACGGCGGCAAAAGAGAGTCGAACGAAATGCGAACAATAAGGGCGCAAGCGAGAGCGAAAGGAAGATATATAGGAATGTGCAAACTAAAGCATGCCATTTCGCCGCCACGTGGAGAACATGCTGCGTGGCAGCTCGGCAGGAGGGCGAGGGGGGAGAAGGGGGAAGGGTAGGGCTGGGACAGCGGGGAGATCGTCGTTTGTTATACCGACGCGTCTCCCGGCGCGGCTCCGAAGCCGACGAGCAGCAGCGCGGGCGCGCGTTTTACTCCATGATCGCGCACGGCAATGGTCTCTCTCGCGGCGCGGAGATTCTCAATGTCATCAGCCACGTAGCGGTCGGGTGCCGCACGAGCGGAAGGTCTCGCAAGGTCATGAATTCGCCGCCGCCACCGCCGCTACTGCCGAGAGCTACTCGCACGCGGAGAAAGTCTGATTGCCTAAAATTGCGCGCTCTCTCGCTCTCTCTCTCTCTCTCTCCTCCTCTCCTTCTCTCCTTCTTGCGAGGCCGCAAGTCGTAATTTCCATTTTCGCGAGACGCCGTCGGCTCATTTTCTGGTTTAATAACTGACATGTCGGCTTGAACGAGTGACACGAGCGAGGAGAGAAAGAGAGAGAGAGAGGGAGTGAAACTTGGGAGAAGGTGAGAAAGACGAAGAAGGATGCTCACGCGTGAATAGGAGCAAAGGGCGAATTGCGCGAGGAACACGCCTACGTATAAACGTGCGTTATAGCGTTATAAGCCTGAAAACACACACGAAACACGGGTGTCTGCTCGTTGACGCGGATAAACCGTCAGCACGATGGTGATATATTTACGGGCCATTCCCTCTTTCTCTCTCTCTCTCTCTCTCCCCCCCCCCCCCTCTCTTTTGTACCGCTTGGTTTACTTCGAAATATATTTTTCAAGCGCTTCGCGGATTTCCAGGGACGCCGGGAATCCGACCGCCGCCGCGAGCCGCGAATGTCGACGAATACTTTTTTCGGGCTGCGCCACGTGTATCGCGCCGGACGTACGCAGAGGCAAGCGAGAGGCGAGGCAAACACGCGACGAGACGCGACGAGACGCGACGAGACGCGACGCGACGCGCATTTTTGATTTCGCAACGAGCCTAGAGATAATTGGCGTGCGTATTAGCGATCCAACCGCGAGCGCTGTAACGACGACACCGATGAAAAGTATCCGTCACTGTACTCGCGGATATTTTCAGTCACAATCGTTTCCCAACGTCGACTGTCGTCAGTTGCCTGTAGCTTCAAAATTAGTACTTAATTATCATTGTAGTTTTGCACTTGGTTTAATAACTTTTTATATTTTTATATTAGTAGGTATTAGGTATTAGGTGTAGTAAAAAGTCATCGCGTATTTTTTAGCTCAAAGTTGTATATACAATATCTTCGTCAATAATGAATGAAATTCAAATTTAAAAAAAAGTTTTAAAGCTTGAAATCTCTACTTTTAAAAGCTTATCACATTTTTTAAGTTTATATGAGTTTGATAATTTTTACATACCAAAAACTACGAGCTGAAAAAGACGAAAAATTTTCTTCTCACTTTGTGGATTTGTAACGTGTCCAAAACGAATTTGAGAAAATTTTCGATTACCTATCGTGAAAGCTTGATACTTTCCCTACAAAATCGTTTTTTTTTTTTAAATATTCCTACGACTTTTGATTACTGAGTTATCGCGGATTAAATAAAAGAATTATTTTGACTTTAATTGCTCATAACTCCATTAAAAATTGTCGTATCGTATAATTTAAAAAAGAGATTTTTAAAGCTGAAACTTTACTCTATGGAGATATATTTATATTGTTGGTAAGAAAGTAATTGCGGTTTTTACTGATAGATGTCTTTTAAAAAAACGCGATGACTTTTTACTTAACCTAATATTTTTTATTTTTAATTTTTTTTTTGCAATTTATAAACTCTCGGGAAAGATATTAATGTCTGTCGAAAGATTAAAGTATTTCGTTTGAAGATAAGGAACATTTTTTCACGATTCTGTGGCTTTTAAACAAGCGATCCGCTAAAAAAATGTTATTACAGAATAATAACGATGTAAAGAATGTTAATTTTTACATGAACATTAGAGTTTTGCGTTTATGTTGGTTCATCATTTTGTAATTTTAGTATTTTTCTACTGTTTATTTATAATACAACAAATATTATATGTAGGATAAAGTGTCTTGAGGAATACTATATAGAAAATATCAAATTGCTTCCTTAAAAGTCACGGAATATGACATGTAAAAATGTGTTGATTTATTACTTTTCCCAAATAAATTGGCAAATTTTGCTTTCACGCAATTTAATTGTACAAACTTTCTGTCCATTCTTAATAATAAAAATATAATCTATTTTAATTCTATTACAATGCGAACATTCGAATCGTACTTAGCGACACGTATACGAAATAACTTTTGTGCGCACGTGTATAAATAGTTTAGGACACAACCAGTATTATTTCGTAATTCGCAAATTGAGGCTCGACGGTCTTATTCTCTCTGAAATTTATACCTAACCGATTATTATCTCGCTTTATTGAGCGCGCTCGTCATTTTATACGTCCGAAATGCAGAAATTGCGGAATCAGAAAGTTCAACATTCGCAAATTGATTGCGTTCAGCAGAAAAAGCAACTTTGCAACTGATTCTTTAATGATCGGTATATATGTACATTTAGATCCAGTGAGGAGCTGAGCTGAGTGCAATCACACGAAAGAATTTTCAGGAAAGCTGCTTTTTCTGAACCTTATTGTACCTTCGCGTATACTCTCGCATAAAATAAATCATGATTTGAATCGGTCGGATGTATTAAAGCTTGAAGCTCGTTCGTAGAAAACTCGAGAGGATCGGCCAACACATCGCGGTCTCGTTATAGAGTGGAACGACGGCCGGTGACACGGTGGCTCTCTATCTTTCTCTATCCCTCCCCGATTCCTTCTCGATATCGACTTTAGACCGAATGGCCCGGAGGCAGGCAGCTTCGAGAGCGCGTTCGCTAAGTCTAAATAACCTCTGGTATATCGAACCGCTGCCAGGGAATCCGCGACCGGCGGCCTGGCCGCGGATCGCGAGGCCGCGTTTGGGGTTCCCCTCCCTTTCTGTATCTCTCTCTCTCTCTCTCTCTCTCTCTCTCTCTCTGTTTCTCTTTCTCTCGCGTTCTATCCCTTTCGCGTCGGTCGCACCGCCGGTCGCCTTTTCCCGTTTAATAACCGATGGGAGCGATTGGACATTCCGCGCTCGAGAAAATATCGAGGGTCGAGGAATAAACAAAAGAAAGTCCACAGGCCTTTCTAAAAGTCCTAAGGCCTCGGAAACCAAAAGGTACGTCCAAGGTCCAAGACCAAAAGGTCCTTTCACGACGTTTCAAACGTCACTTTTCATTTTTTTTTTTTTGGTGCAGGTTGTTCTTTTTTCATTTTTGCAAGTTTCCTCACACACACAAGCTCGGGTCTTTTCCAAAACCTCTGCTATTTTCTGTTTAACCTACAGCCGTAGGTAGAAATAGTTTTCGACCGTCTTCATCGAGGAAAATCCTCGAGCAAGGATCTGGCTGCATGAAAAATAAAAAATCTGAATAGAAGATAGGTATAAACGTGTAGTTATGAATAACGAATTCCATCAAACAAAAGAATGGAATACAGACGCAGGAAAGGATTAGAAAAGGACAATAATGACGGCAACGAGAAGAGTGGAAAGGACATAAGGAAGAAAACTACCAAAGGCGAAGTGAAGAGTAAGCGTGATTAAGAAGAGAATAGAGAGTAGAAAACGCACCCTCAGCTTTAGAAGGGTGGCTCTGCGCCACTTTTTGTGTTCTTGTGTGAGTTTATTAGTGACTTCGCCCTGCTTCGAATGCTTACATACAATACGTCTCCTATCTGTCGGTTGCCGATTGGTTCTCCCTGTCAGCTGTAACGAATTTTTCCTCCCGTTTTCTTCTAGCTGCAAAATAACCCACACAGCTTTACCAAAATTCTTCGCAAAAGAGGGTTTAGAACCCTCTTTCTATTCTACAAATAATAGGAATATAATGCAAACAAATGTAAATTTTCTTGAAAGAATCCTGAAGGAACTAATAAATCGTCTTAAATAATTATACTGACCGTTTTGTGTCACGTATTTGTATACGTTCCCGAAGAAAAATCGTTAGAAATTGAATCTTCGTTTATCTTGCATTTTTCTTCAAAAAGTATTGTCCAAATTTAACACAATATATCGAACTGATGTAACGCATATTATAAAAATAACCCATGACAGTATAAGCCGACAGTGTAAGCCGTTTAGATGGACAGTCGTAAACGTTACTTGATGCATAGCGCTAATGTTATTTAGTTAGCTACTACTTTGACCATTTCACATCGGTCATAAATTAATCACTTTCTTTGTATAGAGAGAGTAGACTTCCTTTCTCCCTTACTTCTATTATTTTATTTTTAATCTTCGGCTCTCCTTACGAGAGTCCTTTTTCTATGTGCGTCTTTTGATTGAGAATTTAACAATTTGTTGTTTGTGTTGTGTAACCTAGATGGTTACTTGTGATACAATGTCCGACATTGTTCTGGAAAGGAAAATTTAACAATTTGAAACACTTCGATCCTTTTTTTCTCGATTGTGTACCTGCGTCTTCATGTCTCTACAAGACGGAGGACTGACTATTCCTCGTAGTCGTGAGATTCCATATAACGGAACATGCTTGCGAATCGTGAGGATGAGGCGCAGCATGTGCGCAGTACATGTATGCGTGTTTCTACGCATGCTCGAATGTTGTGTCACCACCAAGATAAAATCGCCCAGCGCGCGTTTCGTCCATAGATCGTTCTTCCTCGTGTTTTTTCAACTGTTCAACCTTACGTGTGAAGATTTCTCCGTAAATAGGAACCATCCATTAAAATCCAATATGAAAAATATAATTTTTTGTTTAAAAATCATACCTTTTTCTGTAATAAACAACATCGTTTTTTTTTTTTCGATAGAATTTAGCTTTCAATCGTAGTGAATGCATTTCTGAAATTTAGAAATTATTATATAAAAAATCGTTCACTAATAATAGTCGTTTACTAATAATGGACGTAATAAGAATCGTGTTTATACCAATTTGAAAATGCTTTCTAAAGAGCACTTTTGACATGCGTTGCTTTTGTTTTCCAATTGGACGAAAACGGGTGAAGGTCATAGAATTCTGATAGAAATTTATGGTGATGTTGCTCTATCAATTAAGACATGTGAATATCGATTCTGTCGATTTAAATTTGGTAATTTCAATGTTAATAATAAAAGCAGGAAAATGCAGATTTACGAGCATTATTGGACGAAAATTCAGTACAATCCATTTCAGAACTTGCCGAAGAATTAAATATTGATCGTACAACAGTTATTAAATGTTTATACACTAAAAAAAAAATAATTCTTTAACTCAACAGAATGCTGCAGTCGAATACGTGCAAATAAATATCAATGTAATAAGAGCAAAATATTTTCTTCCATTACTACGATGATTTTAAATTTGGCTCAATTGAGTGTTGCAGACAAAATGTTTATTTGATTTTAATATATTTGATTTAATATTATAAAAGAATTTATTTTGATAATCTATTAAATAGCATTAAAATTGAGACAACAAAAGGATGTGTGTGTCAAAAACAAAAAATTTAATAAAACAAATTTATGTTTACAATAATCACATATCGTTTATTCTCAATTTTTTTACAGAAATTTGTATACACAATATTATCGTGAAATTCACATATGTTTTACTTGACTACAATTATTATTGAAAAACGCATCTTTCTCTCTTCGCATCGCCGCCGAGATTTGAACCTACGTTCGAAAAATCTGATCCCTAGAACGGTAACCTAACACATTTACGCTAAGCTAATCGCACGCTTGTGATCGAGTCAACTAACATCTTCTGACCATTTTTAATTTCATGTCTCTGCTAATAGTTTAATATTATTAATATTTGAAGAGATTACATGGAAACGAAATAATACATGTTTTGATCTTGTAAACTTTTAATAAAAATGCCATATTTTACCATCTAATTTGCTGGAGCAAAAATAATGTAAGATCATTCATGTCAAGCAAGATATATGGTTAATGCAACAATTTTTTTATTCAATTAAATTTAACCGTAGTCTACTTAAAAAATTGTTCAATGTTGGTTAACGAAAATGATTCAATTTTATTTAGTTTACAGGACTACTATCATTTAGAAGTCTTCAAGAAAAATCAGTTAACAGCATTGTATATTTTGGATAATCTCACGGAGTCAACTAAATGCGTTTATATGAGACAGTTTATATATATTTTATTGTTTTAAATGCAAGGATTTGTTTAAATGAAACTATACCTTAATTATGTGAAATAATGTTTTTATAAATTATATATATTTAAGACAATTAAATATTTTGTCAAATAAGTATATATTCTACGTTGTATAGACAAATTTTTAAGTAAAACTAAACCAATCCATTCTTAATCGTTTATATCAGACATATAATTATAAAACAAAAAAACGTACCACAAAAAATGTACGCATGAATAAAATAAAATACCGGAAATCTAATAAAAATAATAAATTTTATTAGATTTCCGGTATTTTATTTTATTCATGCGTAGATTTTTTTGTGGTACGTTTTTTTTTTTTTAATTTATCTTTTTTATCAACTAGAACTTTACATATAATTATGTTAAGTAAAATTGACTCAATAATAATGACTAAATATAATATAATATTCGACTAAAGTAGGTTTAGATATCAGTTATAACTCTATCATAATTCAATTACTCATCTTGCTCTGATAACATTTTAGATATTATACGAAAACTTAGATCAGACACTGAATAAAATCAATTTTCACTCGTAAACGGACGACTCGGAAACAAAACCAAAATAACAATATTTAAGCCATGTGTTCCAGCGTCTCATTCGTGTCGTCCCCTTTAAACAAAAAATGTTTCGCTAAAAAGTATGCAGTGCAAATTTAACCGTACGAGTTACGTTCGAAAACAATTTACCTTCGAGTACTTTCGAGTGTCATTTTGTCTTCATATATTATTCGCTGAGCAACAAAGACAAAATGATATATTCAAAAGTATTTTTTCGGTTATGGCGGTACAATTTGTCAACACTCTATTCAATTACTTAACTGGAAAAATTTATGATTTTGATAGATAAAAGCTCTACTCTGCAGGCTACTATACTTAAGACTTTCAGCTTCATTTTTTTTTGACACTTCCAACATATTGAAATAATTTATCTTTATTTGGAAAACTGTTGAAAGGAAGTATTTTAATTTGAAAGCTAACACTGCCTTTCCCTTTACATATAATAAGTATCCCTGAGGAACTGTATATAAACACGTGCGTGTGCGCTGGTTCACACATCACAGTTGCGTGTCACACATAGGTAGGTTATTCACGGGCCCTGAAAGCGAACGCATTCGTAAATACGACCTTGTGGCTTTACGACTCTTCTCGACCTTTCGGGTCGGAAAGAACGGCCAGAATGTGTATTCCAATTAATCTCGTGCCGTAATATCGTCGATTTATGCGAGCGCGTGTGTATACGTGGGCGATTGCGTAATAACGGGAATAAAGATTCGGTAAATCTTGCTAAACGATACTCGCGCGTCACGTATCGAATTTGCGTCGATAAAATTCTCGGCATATGTATGACCGCATTTTTTGTTCATCAATGACAACGCTGGCGGGGTCGCCTGAGATTCACTGAGATATTTCATTGGAACTACATTAGTTAACGTCGTTAACATTATACGGTATACAGTGAGAGCAAAAGGTATTCTTACGGAGAATTTTTTTTTCGAAAAAAGTCTTATTTGTAGAAAACCAACATTAATTAGCAATTTTATACAATAAATGCATTCTGTTTTAACATAAACAATTGAGCTTTGCATGTATTTCTGATTTTTAGAAGCTAAACTTCTCGACTGTACGAATACTTGATCATTCAAGCAATACAATTTTTCATTTTCGCTTATTTTTCAGATGGTATAATTAATACACATTCTTTTGGTACGTATAATTTTAAGAAACATACAGTCTATTTTATTCTTTATGAATGAATTGTTAATAATCCAGCAAGAAATGATTGTCAATTAAACAAATCGAATTGATGTCAAATTGATGCTGAAATCATCGTACCGATATTCATTCGACATCAATTCGATGATTCATTTCTCGCTATGGATAATGTTTACTTTGTGAAAATATATATTTAAAAAAAAAATACTTTCTCTGTGTGTCCGAATATTTTTTGCGCTCGCTGTATATACATACATTCGCGTTTTCTCGCGTGTGTGATTCACAAAACTGACGATAGGCAGGAAAGCTTGCAAGGGAAAGATACTTGAAAATTTCTTCTAAGAATGTGTCCTCAGTGAAAGTAGTTAAACGCGAAACGAAGTTCGCAACGCAACGCACTCGGAATAACTTCTCGAAAGTTCTGCGAAAACTTCCGCCAACGTATCGCAACGATCTCTTGATCGCGAGAGAACACGGGAAATAGAAAATCCATTGATAAGAACTACTACTATTCGTCGAAGATCGCGCGGATCGTAGTTTCGTCACTTATGTGTCGTAATTTGCAAAGCCAGTAAAGTTTCGCCATCACTGGCAATATATACGCACACGTAAAACATACATTCGGATCACCTATAATATGATGTAACGCAAATCAAATTTTCGACCACGATCAAACGCGTGAACTGAATA